AGCATTTAATCGGAGGGAAGAGGATTAACAAAGTCAAAGAGGCTTTTAAAGACAAAGAAAAGTTTGGGAACAACCAGAACAAGAGAGATTGGTATTTGGGGCGGTTTTTGAGGTGCCAAGGTGGGGGTAGGGGAAGGATGGTGGGACAATGAGGAGACCCAGAGGGCGAGTTTAGATCGCCGAAACTGTTTGTCTGAGAGCTGGAACTTTATCTTGAAGATATTGAGGCGTCTTGAAGGACTTGACCCCAATACCTTTGTATTGTAATATTTTATGGACAATGAGATTTTCATGTAGTGTTTCCATTACAGTAAGGTTTTCAGAAGTAACCAGAGGAGTTTGTTACCAAAGGAGAAACCAGTTCCTCCTTTTTCTGAGTTATTAATCTGCCATTTTAGTAGCTATAGTATATAAATATGCCCAGGAAAATATTAAGCTGGACAGTGTGATCCTCTGTGATCTACATCTCTCTCCAGCCTCGTGTTTTCTCAACTTCAGAATACCTCACCTCTTTTCATACATTTGTCACTAGTATATCTTCTTTGATGCAGAGCCTGCTAAAAGCTTTTGCCTTTGTAAGATCAGGTTGGTTGTCCACTTATTGCTGAGTATATTCTGGATGTAAGTCCTTTATCAGAGTCTATAAAAAAAAAGTAGTAAGTAAGTTTAGATAGGTTGCAGGATACCAGATCAGTATGAATTAATTCTATTTCTTTATGCAAGCAACAAACAATTGGACATTTTTTAAAAAAGATTTTATTATTTGAGAGAGAGAGACAGAGCACGAATGTGGGAGGGGCAAAAGGAGAGGGACAGCAGACTCCCTGATGAGTGGGGAGCTCAGGGCTTAATCCCAGGAGCCTGAGATCATGACCTCAGCCAAAGTCAGACACTTAACTGACTGAGCCACCCAAGCACCCCAACAGTTGGACGTTTTAAAAAATTATTTATAATAACATCAAAAATATGAAATTCTTAGGCATAAATCCCACAAAATATATAAAACCTGTGCACTAAAAATTCCAAAAACAATGCTGACTGAAATTAAAGCAGACCTAAAGAAATGGAGAGCTATACCAAGTTCATTGTATGAAGGCTTTAATATAATTAAGATATCATCTGTTCAAAATAATCTATAGATTCAATGAAATCCCAATAAAAGTTTTAGGTTTTTTTTCTTTCATTGAAAATAAGAAGCTTACTTTAACATTTTTATGGAAATACAAAGGACCAAAACAATTTTGGAAAAGAATAAAGTTGGAAAAAATTCGTACAACTTGTTTTAAGACTTACAGTAAAGCTACAATAATGAAGACCACATGATATTGGCATAAGGATAGGCATATAAATCAATTGAACAAAAGAGAAGTCTGAAATAGACCCATAAATACATAGTTAATTGATTTTCAACAAAAGTGACAAGGTAATTCAATGGGAAAATGATTGTTTTTCAACAAATTCTGTTGGAACAATTAGATACCCTAATGCAAAAATAAACTCTTACTTCACACCATATACAAAAGCTAACTCTAAACAGAGCATAGACTTAAATTTAAGAGCTAAAACTATAAAAATAATACAAGAAAATATAGAATAAAATCACGACTTGGATTACACAAAGCTTCTTTAGGACACAAAATGCAATTTGATAAATTGAATTGTAGAAAAATTAAAACTTTGCTTTTCAGAAGTCATTGTTAATGAAATGAAAATGTATTCCACACGCTGGGAGAAAATGACAAATTACTTGTAACCCTTATGTTTTTAATATTCCTCTGACTTTGCTCCTGCTGTTTCCTCTGCCCAGCATCCCCTTCGCCTTGGTATCTATCTGCACGCAGAGGTTCTATTTCTCTTTTAGATTCAGATCAGGCATCGAATCGTTATTTTCTTCAGGACAGTCTTGCAGACTCTCCAACTGGCACATTCCAGACTGGTCAAAACATCTATCACACTCTACCTTCCTGGTCAATTTACATGTCTGTTTTCTATAATAAATAATTAGCTCCTTGAGGTCTAAGACAATATTTGTTATGCTTTGTTAGGTTCTTGGCCAACTTTTCCATGCCCTGAACCCCTTTCCCCCAACAAAATAAATTTTGACATTGCCCTCCCTCCAGATACAGCTCTATCACCTCTCACTCTATTATTACTAAACTTCTTAAAAGATTCCCGATCTCTTCTTCTTCACCCTCCCATTTATTCTTCAACCCACAGCAATCTGGATTTCTGTTTCTGAAATATTTTCTATTGAAACTGTCCTTTCTAAGACTCCCATTGAATGTATACCAGACCGTTTCACTGGGCACAGTTTATTTCTCACATTACTTGACTTTCTTGGAGCTTTATAAATTGGTTCCTTGTTAGACTGTGAAGTCTTTAAGTGAAGGGATCCTGCCTTATATTTGTCTTTGTAGATAGACAACTGGGGAGCTTCTACATGAAGAGAACAAAGAGGTAAAGAGAGCAGCATGACAAGAAACAGAAATAAGAGAAACCAAGGGAACATGGAATCCTAGATTCCAAGGAGGAATGTTCTCCAGGAGGGAATGGTAGACATTCACCTGTTTTCTCATTCAATCAATCATCCACACAACAAATACCACACTTGAGAGTGCTTACTCATTGCCAGACACAGTGCTGGGTTCCAAGTCCACAAAAGCTTTTCTATACCCTCTCCTGGATGATTATCTCCTTCCATAACTCCAACTACAACTTATTTTCTAATCCCTGTCAAATCTATGTCCCTTTTCTATTTTCTGACACCCAGGTGCCTATTTCTAACCGTCTACCAGCTATATCTGGCTGTATTTCTCCAGTCTACTGGAACTCATAGTATACACATTAATCTCGGGGCACCCAGGTGACTGGGTCAGTTAAGTGTCTGCCTGCAGCTCAGATCATGATCCTAGGGTCCTAGGATTGAGCCCTGAGTCAGAGTCCGGCTCCCTGCTCCCCAGTTCCCTCTGCCCCTCCCCCCCACTCATGCTCTCCCTCTCAAATAAATAAATAAAATCGTAAATAAGTACACACATAAATTTTGATAAATGCAATACACATATAAATAATTTTCTCCTGGAATGCTTATCTCATTTAATAGTTACACTCAATCCCATAGTTAACAATAGGTCTCATCCTTTGTCATTTCTTACCTGGACTATTGCTTTTACCAAGTCTGTTACCAATTCTCCTTACCTACAATTCAGCATCTACACACCCACCATGACTGTCAACCTAGCAGATACTTGGGAGCACACCATTGCCCCACTTAAATGCCTCCAAGAGCCTTTCTGTTACCCAAACACATCAAACCATTTGCTCTCCAGCAATTAGCTGCTTGTGCTTGTCTTAATTTCAAGCATTAGCACCTACTGTTCCCTCAGTCTAGAAAGAACATGCTCACTACCACATATTCACATGATAGCTCCTATTACCTTCAAGACTCAAATCAAATATTCCTTCAGTCAAGCTGTGCTAAGCCCACCTCCTCCACCAAGGCACATTGTGTAGCCCTTCATTACTGTGCTGTAATGATGATTTGTTCATAAGCTCTTCTCCCATTCTAGATTATATCTCAATCACCCTTGTACTTCTAACATCTGCTTTAAAGACAAGCACAAAAAGCTCGTTTTGAAAGGGCAAGTTTTTTTCTGATTTTGATGTAACCAGCTTCTATTAGGTGTTATTTGGGAATAGTGTCATATATTTTATAGTGAATACAGTAGTTTAAAAAAAGATTCAGCCACTTCCTTAAGCAGTGGTTTATCTCTCCCTCAGAGAAAACCAGAATGAGTTTTTTAATAAAATGATTGAAAAGGTACACTGAATCTTCAATTTAATTATTTCAATTCCTGCAAAAAAAAGGTCTTTCAGAGAGGCTGCCTCTTGGTAAAATGTGATAAAGTTCCAACACATTCTTAAAAATTGTAAATTAATTTATAAATTTCCATTCAAAGTTTAATCTGCTATTTTCCACATAAAAAAACTCATAATGTTGCTTCCTATTGATTCAGTATCTTTGCATCTAGAGTTTAAGCCAATATTTCATCTCTTTCTAGAAGCTTCCAGAGGCACTTGGTGCATATCAGTGAATGTTGCCCATTTTTATTGCTTTTGGAGTTAAGTAAGGACTCTGCACCCAGCATTCCAGATCTTTAATATATTAAATTCTAGTCTTAATTCTCTCAGTGTCTGTGTATCTACCAGAGCAGATCAGTTCATATTCTTTCAGCATGCCCTGTCTTTTTCTAGCTTCTACAAGGCCCAGCCCTGCCTTCCACTTCCTCCTGCCACCATTACTACCCTCCTTTCTTCCTGAAATTCCTCCTGGTCCTTCCTACCCGATCTGGGCTTTCCCCATTCTCCTTCCCTGAACAATTATTAGTGATTCTTTCATTCTTTCTTGGGACTTCTTGCATTTCACCTTGTGCTACAATTATGTGTGTGTGTGTGTGTGTGTGTGTGTGTATGTGATCCTATTATTCTCTCTTCTCAACAAGCTGTTGGGGCAGTCCTCCCATGTCCTGTTCATTTCTGAGGCTCTGCAATGCCAAGCACAATTTCTGAAACATAACAAGTACTCGGTAATTATTTGTTTAGTTGAATTGAGTTCAAATAAATTTAAACAGCTTTCTCTTCACTGTGTGTTGACAAAATAATTCTAACAAGTTCATAATCACAGGAAGCGGTAGAGCCAGGATTTGAACACAGCAGTTTACCGCACTTTAAATCCCAGGACTTTGTTGCCTCTCCAATAAACAGAATATGCACTGCAAGGTTATTGGTCCAGCTATATAGTTTAGCTCTAACCACTAAAACCTAAAAATTGTCCTAATAAGACTGAATGTTTCCTGCTTAACAGTGTGTGAAAAAAAAAAAAAGATTTTATTCTTTCTGTGACATTAGTTTCAAAGAGTGGGAGCATATGCCTTTTAAAGAGTATTCCTTTAATACATTTATTATGACCTCATCATCTGTTGTCTATCTGAATTTTTTTTCAGGATCTATAAGATACGGATGTAGAGACACAGAGAGGTAATGACATTTACTGTATACTATTGGATAGAGCATCCCTGACTTGAAGACCTAGACTCCTGAGCACTCATCAATAGCTCCAAGGTGGCAAAGGTGGGTTTAAAGCCAAGGATGTGGGGTTTGTAATAGACCTGGCTTAGAACTCAGTGGTTTATTCTGGATCTTTGGGCTTCAAGAAGTTGGAAGAAGTAAGGGAGCTGCAAAACATCTTTTTCATCTCAGTGTTGGGAATTGAAAATCCAAAAAGGGAGTCTGAACACTAACACTAACTTAATCTGTCCCCACATAAAGTAACTGCTTGTTCTAATTGAAAGCACTGTTGTATTCAATTTTAGAACCCGAGGAAGAACTGGCTGAAGCGATGAGATGGCACTGAATGTCCTTCTGCATTTGGGGATACATTTGAATTCTTTTTCTTTCATGGCTGGGCTCTTTCTGGGGAACAGGAGTGGGAGAAAGTCTCTTTCTGCAATGTCCTTTAACAGCTGTGTCAAAATTCTCCTGAGCTGCCTGCAATTCTTCCATCTTTGCAGTTGAGTTGACTCTTCCCATGTGAGTTTCAAAGCCATGGGCAGTTCCCCACCATCTTCTTGGCTGAAACCTCCTTGTCACTGCAGCAGCCCCTCTGTTAAGAATATCTCAAATAGGTATTCTACTTCACAGGCAGTGTAAAATTTCCTTTCTAAAATATTTTCTAAAATATTTTGAGAATGTGAGGTTCTGGCAGGATATAGAGGCTACAAATCAGATTAAATAATTCCCACTGCCAAGTGATCAGACAGAAAAAGAATTGTACAGAAAGGAAAACTCCCAACCTCGTTGGCCGTTGCCTTTGTTGGCTGCCTTCTGAGGGGTCCAGTTCCAATGGTCATAAAGTGCTAGCTCCGTGGCTATTTGGAGGGATGTTGGCCTCCCGCTCCAGGCCAAGAAAGATCACACCAACACAACTTCAGCAAGTAAGTGTGCCCTTATATTTGGTCTATGGGCACCGAAGAATATGTAGATCTAAGGTTTCATTTATCTGGATAATTAAATAAGCCTGGAAGAATATATTAAAGAAAATTTCTTTTTACTCCCTCTTTTTTAGATGACACTATTTGGCTTTGCTCTCCTTACCTTGAAACTACCCCAATGCAAGCAACAATTTCTGCCAAGGAAGTAGAAAAAAAATGCTTCTATACTCTTGGCTAGTGTGTGCTTGCTGGTGGGGGAGACCACAGTGTGGGGATTACAAACCCTTGTTCTGGGATCCGTCATCTTGGGTCTACATACAAGTTGTGCTATCTGCCAGACTTTGGGGAGTGGATCCATTTTTTTTTTTTTAAGATTTTATTTATTTATTTGACACAGAGAGAGAGACAATGAGAGAGGGAACACAACAGGGGGAGTGGGAGAGGGAGTAGCAGGCTTCCCGCAGAGCAGGGAGCCCGATGCGGGGCTCGATCCCAGGACGCTGGTATCATGACCTGAGCCGAAAGCAGACACTTAACAACTGAGCCACCCAGGCGCCCCTGGATCCATATTTTGATGCTCAGTTTCCCTATCTGTACGACAAGGATGCTAATAAGAAGACAAAATATGCTTTCTGGTAGGCAGATTGACAAAGACTGTAAGATAATACTTCTCGTATGTATCGCGTCCTTAGCGTAGGCATGGGTTTAAATTCCTTATATGTATTATCCCACTTGATTTATTACCCCATGAGGCAGGCTCTGTTATTAATCCCAGTTCATCAGAGAGGAACTTGGGACACAGAAAGGTAAAGGCACCATGTAGGGAAGTCCCAAAGTAAGAAAGTGCTAGCCAGGATTCCAGCTCAGTCACAGCGCCTCTGCACATGCATGCACCCTCCTTTACTCTGCGAACTGCTTTCTCATAGTCATGGCCAAATGTGACTCAGGGTGCCTCCAGAGCACACGGACATGTGTTCACTTAATACCGTGAGTGCTCCTGAGCTGTACCAACAAGGCCCAGGGAGTCGTTCAGAATTGGTTAGAGACCCAAGTTCATCACTTGCGTGGGGTGGAGGTGGAGCCCTGATGTCATCCACCCCCCCACCACCACCTTGCTGAGCCTGCTCTTTTCTGACCTTTCCCTAGAAACCTAAAGGGCAGATCCATTCTCTTTCCCGCTTTTTCTTGCCTACTATTTCCACACCTCACCCCTCCCTACCTTGCTACTCTTAAACATCATCAACCAAACAAATAAAGGAATACTCTTGAGGCTGCTATTTCAGACTCTGTGGCCAGGAGCCTTTAATAAACAGGTCTTGGGTACTAGTTAGACATGCTCTTTTGGCTCACCTCATGTTTCAAGATGCTCCATGAATGCTCTCTTTGTAAAGTCTTTCTTCACCTTCTTGCTCCAGCTTGAGTGTTTGTTCTTTCATGATGTCTTGCATAGGCTGCTATGTATTCTGCATATTTATGTACCTGCCTCAACTAACCGAGAGACTATAATCCTCCTGAGGACAGAGATTCTGACTTGCTTATCATGCTATATCCCGCAACAACTAGCATAGTGTCTAACGAATAGAAGCTCATGAAGAAATAGAAAAATGTAAAGCCTCTATAAATCAAAGCGTTCCCATAACCCAAGTCAAAATACCAATGGCAGATCTGGAGAAAAATCTTCACATTTTATGCAACAAAGTGTTGCTATCCATAACATACAGATGTCTTCGCATTAGAAATAAAGGGAACAAAATGATCTTGAAAATAGATAAATGGCACAAATAGTGAATTTACAGAAGCAAATAGTAACATGTGAAAAAAAATTCTAATTCTCACTAGAAACTGAGAAAGTGTAAATGAAAATCACTGCTTTTTAAAAAAAATATAGGCAAAAACTTAAAAAGATTTATTTGCAGCCAAAAAAGAAAGTGGGGTGGGGGGGAGGTTTATGTACAAAGGGGAATGTGAAGGAGTTTGAAAGCATATAATTTATGTGCAGTTATGTCGGGTGTATTTGTCTCCTACGGCTGCCATAACAAAGTACCACAGCCTGGATGGCTTAAACAGCAGAAGTTTATTTTCTCCCAATTCTGGAGACTAGAAATCTGAAATCAAGGTGTCAGCAGGATTGGCTTCTTCTTCGGCCTCCCTCCTTGGCTCATAAATGCCTCTTTCTTCCTGTGTCTGCAGGTGGCCTTCCCTCTATACATGTCTTTGTCCTAATTTCCCCTTCTTATAAGGGCACCAATCATATTGCATTAGGGCCCACCCTAATGACCTCATTTTACCTTAATTACCCCTTTAAGGGCTCTATCTCCAAAAATAGTCACATTTTGAGATGCTTTAAAATTTCAACATGAAAAATGTTAAATTTGGGGGGGGACACAGTTCAGCCCCTAACATGTAGATATGTAACAGATATAAACAGATAGATACTTGATAAATAGATGCGTGTTTCAGAAACAAACTAGAATAAACTCTAAAATGCTAACAGTGTTTACCTGTAGGGTTGGGATGGGATGGATAAGGAGCATTTGCTTCTTTTTATGATTTTAAAAGTTCTGGCATTATGCAAGATTTGTTCCTTTTTGAGTTTTTCAGGATTTTTGAATAATAATAATAATAGTAATATTATAATAATAATAAAATAATAGAAATATCACATACAGAAAATATATCATCAGAGACACAAGCTGACCAGATGTTCATCGGTACTGTTCCTAGCCCTGAGCACATAAGAAAACTACATTTCCCGGCTTCCCTTGTACTTCGATTGAGGCTATGAGACTGAGTTTTGGCCAAAGAATTATCAGTGAAAGAAAATAAGAAACTCCAAGCCTTGGCCTTAATTTATTTCCTTATCTCTTTATCCTAACACTCTCTTCTTGGCATCTTGTTGAATGCAGAGGATCTGGTGAAGGAATTCAAAGGCCACTCTCTGAGGTGGCAGAGGCACGTGGTGGAAGGAAGGAGCTGAGGTTCCTTAGTAACCCTGTGGTAGAGAGCTATTCAAGATGGCTGCCTGACCCATATCTGGCTTTCTGTGTGTTAAGTGGCCGTACTTTGGGGTTCTTTGTTCCAACAACTGGCATTAATTACTTTGACACATATATTACAAAAACTAGTCCTTTTCTGTAAAGTAAATGTATTCCAGTAAAATAAAAGATATATCCACCCTTTGAACCAGAAATCACTCTAATAGGAAACAAACTTTTATTACTAGAATCCTGAGTATACAAAGATGCGCTTGTAGAGATATGCTTGCGATAGGAAAAAAAGTCAAGTATATTTTCACCTATAGGGAAATGCTTAAATGATGATACACTGATTTATTAAACCTTATAGAGACATTAAAGGACGGATCTAACTAGATATATATTGACCCAGAAGATGCTTATCAATAATGTTATTTACATAACAGACTTGGAGGTAAATATAGCATGATTTGTTATTATTAAAATTACATCATAGGATGTGATAAACTTAAGGAAAAATTGGGAGGAATAATGTATGCAACTTTATTGTAGACAATTGTTATCTTTTTAGTAGATGAATTTCAAAAATAGCTCAAATTCTTCTCTTTTCTTTTATCCATACTCTTTGAAACACAACTTTTCAGGTTTTCCCATGAGGAGGTGCCGTCCATTTCCCTATTCCTTAAGTCTGAATTAATACTGGAATTTGCTTTGGACACTAGAAAATGGAAGAGACTATATTATGCTGGTTTGAGAGGCCTTGCACACACCTATTCTTTTGTTTTGTTTTTAGCTGTGCTTCCACCATTAAAGCAAGCTCAAGCTAGCATACTGAAGAGACCTGCCAAGATCAGCAAAGCTGACTACAGATGGACAAGCGAACCCAGCTGAGAACAGAGCATTGCCTGGCCACCCTGTGGATTCTTCCCTCTTTTTTCTTTCTCTCCCTTCCTCCCTTTCTTCTTTCTTTTCTTTCTCTTTTTCTTTTTAAAAAATATTTATTTATTTATTTATTTATTTATTTGAGAGAGAGAGAGAACGTAAGGGGGGGAGGGGCAGAGGGAGAGGGAGAGAAAGAATCTTAAGCAGGCTCCACACCCAGCGCAGAGCCTGACATGGGGCTTGAGATCATGACCTAAGCTGAAATCAAGAGTCGGATGCTTATCCGACTGAGCCACCCAGGTGCTCCTCTTTCCCTTTTTCAATAAAGATACAGTTTTCTTTAATATTGCCTAAATGATGTACTCAATAGCCCATCACATCTACCAGGATTAGGCCTGCAGCAATGGAGATTAGGCAAAGCATTTCTTAGTTCTGGCAACCTACAATGCAAACAGACCCTTCATGAAGCCAGTGCACCCAGAAAATAGTGTAAAAATTTTCATAATAAAACAAAAATTAGTCTCTCAATAAAGGAGCTGCTTGATACACAATCTACTATTTTCCTGCATTAGATTTTACCTAGTTGTATTATTTAAAACAGAAATATATATATTTCTCTTTTGTCCTCTGGTGTAAATGAGATGCATGCACATGTTTTTATTCTTGCCTGCAGCATTCATGGTCAACCAACCCTCTGTCTCTGGATATCAAGGGAATGAAGAGATGTAAAGCTTTTTATCTGGGATTTAAAGGAACATTCTGGTGAGGATATCACAAACTTTCATCGAGATGGCCATATTTTCACATGAGAGGCCTTCACTAAGAAATTGTTATGGATAATAATGCAATGAAAAGGCAAATGACTGTTCCAAGGGATATTTCACTTGGAAAGAATATTTTTAGAAGGAAAGAGTTAATTTCCTAAGAATGTGATTTATAAAACTAAGAGAAAAGCCAATGGTTTTACTATCATTGTATTAAATTGTAATAGTTTGTTAAATAATATCTCAGAATTCCTTTAGGTGACAATTAGCAGATCCCTTCCCGGAGATCATGGAAACAAGCGGTGGGTTTGAGCAAGATGTTGGTATAGAAAATAGATGTGTTGAATGGATCCAAAATACCCCTGGGGTAGAAGAACAATATTAGCTGTAAAATAGCCAAATTAAAAATCATTTAAAGTCAGATTTCAATATGGTATTTTCCTTTTCAATAGAAATCATGAAATTATATTAAGGCTCATTTTGATTATTCAAAACAGTGAAATAAGGATCTTTGCTTTTGGACAGCCGTGGGTTTGCTGAGCAGAAGCCTTCATTTGCCGCTACATTTCCTTGCATCATTACATAATTGTTCCCTTGTATGCCAGTTATTCCTTGGATATTGAAGTATGCTGGGCTGGTGAGCTAATCCTTAGTTATAACACAGCGTTATGCTTAGAGGAAGATGCACAAATATTTTGAGTGAAGAATAAAGCTTCAAACAGGATAATTAAAATCACCTGATACTCTTACAAGGGAATTGGTTAAACATATAGTGCATTCGGTTAATGTCTAATCTCACGAGTAATCAGGAAATGCACATTAAATCACCGAAGAGACAGCACTTTTCACCTATCACACACTGCAGTGAATTGTAAATTGCTACAACCTTTCTAGAAAGCAATTTGGCAAAATCCATCAAGAGCCCTAAAAGAGTTCATACCCTTTGTCAGGATAATAACCCATCCAAGAATCTATTCTAAGGAAATAATCAAGGATACAAAGATTTTTATACAAGGACATGATTTGTGGCTCTGTTTATAGCTGTAAAAATATTAAGATTTCTGGAATCTTAATGTCTGAAAATAGAAATTAGCTAAATTATCTACATTTCTCTGATTAAATGCTGTGGTGCCAATATAATCACATGCTTGCGGAACACACAATGAATGACATGCAAAAAGGTTCAATAAGTCTTATATTGTGTGTGTGTGTGTGTATGTGTGCATGCATGTGTGTTAGAGAGAAAGAGAGAGAGTAGGGAAGGGAAGGAGGAAGGAAGTAGGGAAGGAAGAGAGAGCGTAATGTTTAGAAAACTTCTGGTATAACTAAAAAAAAGTGGATCTGTATAATATACACGAGCAAAAATATTTTTGTAAGGGTGTTAATTTTTTTAAAAGATTTATTTATTTATTTTAGAGAGAGAGAGTGGGAGGAGGGGCAGAGGAGAAGGGAGAGAGAGAAGCCAAGCAGACTCCCCACAGAGTGTGATCCCATGACCCATGAGATCATGACCTGAGCTGAAACCAAGAGTCTGATGCTTAACCGACTGAACCACCCAGGCACCCCATGAACAAAAATATTTTTAATGCATGTGGAGCAAGAATTAAGTTTTGCTATACTGGAATTAAAATTAAAAGATGATAAAATTACAGAAAAAATTAAATTTTGCAGAAAGGATAAGAAAGGGAGAAAATATGTAGTAAGTAAGCACAAGCATTAATGTTCCATTTGGGAGTAGCTTTGAATGGATTGGTAAGTCCTGTGTGTAGGGGGTAGGAAATAAACCACAGGACTGAACAGGGCTAAAAGTCAAGTTGGAGAAATTCACCTACAAAGAATTGCTAACAGGCTCTCCAGCCTCCCAGCCCCATCATAGATAGCAAAAACACTCCCTAGAGAGATGGTGGGTGTATGTGTCTTATCTTTGACTCTGAGTAAAGGAGAAAAAGAATGAGAAAAAAAAAAAAACAACTTCTTAGAGAAAGGGTGTAAACTGTGCTTTACACTTACTTGGGGTGAGGCCTGATTTTACATTGTAAGCTGGGTGTCCAAACTCTCAAGATAGAAACTTAGTTGAAGTGTAATATGTTGGTAATGACCTCAGAGCTCTATGGTTTTTTTTGGCTTTCTCTTCATCCTACTGATGAGGGAGGGTTTCCTGCCTTAGGGATATGAGGATGGTCCAACACAGGGCACTCAACACTGGACAGGGAAGAGGGACAGCAATTTATTAATCATATATACTCATGGCCTGGGGGAAGAGGATAGTTCATACAGGGTCACACTGTTGCACTTGCAAACAGAATGAAAAGCAAGGGCTATGAGAATCAATCTCTTTAGTATTAAGAGGTTAGGGTGACTCCTGATTCCTGTGGGAGGAAGTGATTGGCTTGTTTGCATAATTATGTAGCCTGGCAGGAAACTAAAACTTACTATTTAGGGATAAGCAGGCACTTTGCATTGTCTCCATGATAAGTAGGGTTGTTTGGCTAGGGGACCTTATCCAAAGGAGTAGAAGAAGGAAGAAAAGTTGTGCTTAGGCCATTTGAGGCCCTCCAGTTTTCAGATGCCGAGGCATCACATAATACTGAATCTTAATCTCAGGCCTTAACCAAACCCAGTGGATGCAAAAGCAAATCCTCTCTGGAGAAATGCAGTTAATTAATCACAGGGAATTCCCTTGTCATTCTAGGGGAAGAATTCTAGGAAGTATCTCTGGACATAGGAGAAACCAAGCTATCTGAATGAAAATTATACTAAACAAAAAACTAAAGAATCAGATATTTAATCACCAGATGTTAGAATTATCTGATAAAAAATAAAGCAATATGTTTAACATGTCTTTTAAAAAAAGGTAGTATAAAAATGTGACTAAAAAAAAGAGACTCCAAAATCCTAGAGATTAGATAAATAAAATAGTACTCTAGAAATGAAATTAGAAACTGAAAGAACTGATCAAAGGGTAAATTAGAAATAGTTGTAGAAAGAATTAGCAAACTGGAAAAACTATCTGAAAAATAAGACATTAAGAGACTTGTATGATAGAACGAAACACTCCAATAAAGTCCAGTCAATGTTGCAAGATATAACAGAAAGAATGAGGAAGCAGGAATTTTTAAATGTATAAATGTTGAAAGATAATGAATCTTAGAATCAGGAAGTTCAATGAGTCACAAGCAAGAAAAAAAAAAAGATTAAAACAAACAAAGAAAAAGTGTTCAACACAAGCCAGACAGAAATCTAAACAATTTATATATCAACTGTTTATCCTTACAACATGTGAGCTAATTGAGAAACAGAAAACTTAAATAATATGCCCAAGTTTCCATAATTGGGAAATTATAGGAGCAATTTGGGTCCTGAGTTCATGCTCTTGCCACTATATGTAATGCCTCTTAAAGAGATGCCCAGGTAAGTACATCATAATGACATGACAAAACACCAAAAGCAATGAGGTCTTAAAAACAATCAGAGGAAAAAGCCAGATAACTTACAAAGGAAAGTCAATTAAACAGATAACTGGCTTCCTTCTCAACTCAAAAGACATAGAGTAGCTGACTGGATAAAAAACAAGATCCATCTATATATTGTCTATAAGAGACACACTTTAGATGTTAGGTTGCACATAGACTAAAAGTGAAAGGATGGAAAAAGATATTCCATGCAAATGGAAACCAAAAGAAAGCTGGAGTAGTTATCCCCTTCAGACAAAATAGATTTTATTTTATTTTTTTATTAACATAATGTATTATTTGTTTCAGGGTTACAGGTCTGTGATTCATCAGTCTTTTTTTTTTTAAGATTTTATTTATTTATTTGACAGAGAGGGACACAGTGAGAGAGGGAACACAAGCAGGGGGAGAGGGAGAGGGAGAAGCAGGCTCCCCGCTGAGCAGGGAGCCTGATGCAGGGCTCGATCCTAGGACCCGGAGATCATGACCTGAGCTGAAGGCAGATGCTTAACGACTGAACCACCCAGGCACCCATGTGATTCGTCAGTCTTACACAGTTCACAGCACTCACCATAGCACATACCCTCCCCAATGTCCATCACCCAACCACCCCATCACTCCCACGGCCCTCCACTCTGGCAACCCTCAGTTTGTTTCCTGTGATTACTCCAGTTTCATCTTGTTTCCTTTTTTCCTCTCTTCCCCTATGATCCTGGTTTGTTTCTTAAATTCCACATAGAGTGAGATGATATGATAATTGTCTTTCTCTGATTGACTTATTTCACTTAGCATAATACCCTCTAGTTCTATCCACGTCATTGCAAATGGCAGGATTTCTTTTTTTTGATGGCT